CATACAATATAACAAAAAAATCCATTGATACTATGTTCTAAGAGTACAATATATAATAGTAGGTAAACACTGCATGCGTTTATATAAACCAAACCATTCAAAGAAAGTAAGTACTTAGTCTAAAAACTGAATTGCAAAGCAACGAGCAATGATTTCCATTAATTTGTATTTTCCTTGTGATGCGATAATAATACTTATGTCTTCGTGTATTTAGATCCATCAGAAATGAGGTTCAAGTCGTTCTTGGACATTCTATTGGAGATCAGTGAGAGGGACGAGAACATGACCTTGGAGCAGTTAAAAGCAGAAGTGGATACCATCATTGTAGGAGGACAAGAAACCGTGGCCACCACGCTGTTCTATTGCTTGCTTATGATTGGCTGCAATGACGATGTGCAGAACAAGCTATATGAAGAGTGAGTAGTTAGTATAAGCACTGGTTATATCAATGTCAGGGCAGAAAAGTTCTCGAGTGGCGACCACGGGCTGGAAGACGTAGCGTGGGCAGGCTTCCTACTAGGTGGACCGACGATCTGGTAAAGGTCGCGGGAAGAACCTGAATGCGGGCAGCGGAGAACCGTTCACTGTGGAAAACCTTGGGGGAGGCCTTTGTCCAGCGGTGGACGTCATTTGGCTGAAACGAAACGATATCAATATCAAAGGGATACATTCTCCTATAAATCAGCGAGAGAATCGAGAGCACTACCTTGAACAGCTGAAGGCAGAAGTGGACACCATCATCGTGAACGCACAATAGACCGCCGCTACCACTGTTCTACTATCTGCTCATGATTGGTTGTAATGATGACGTGAAGAACAAGCTGTATGAAGAGTGAGTAGTTAGAACTAAAATATAAGTGCTGCCTACATCAACGTTGAAGAACATCGTCGTGGAGCAGCTGAAATCGAAGGTGGACACCTACCTAGTGAAAAGTGAGTAGAAGGAATGAAAATGATGTATAATCACTGACGGAGATTAATGTTAAAAAGGGATATCTTGTTCCTGCTGTGAGTAATTTTCTCAATACTGGTGTACATTTATTTTTCTGAAGCAGTGCCATGGTTTTTTTGGACAGGTTCGTATTAAAGTGCTTTTTAAAGGCCTAATAAATTAGAATACATTACTTTAATGACTGTTTTTTGGGTATAGTTCCAAAACACTCGGACTAGACAGAGATCACAGCCGTGATGTCAAAGCTAATGAATCACCATGGACGTCAGACACAGCACGGGTCGTATCAGAGGCATTTTTTATATCTTTTTTGTAATAAGATACCTACATTCGTGTCGTCAACGTACCTACTAAACAAATTGTAAACAAACACGAAAAACACGAAACACATATCGCCATAACAAAAATGTTAACATCATTGTTGTGTTCCGGCAGTTAGAGATAAGATAGCTAGTTCCTTCGTGGACTCGTGGTTGAGGATTCCGGGTGAAGCTCGCTTCCACCTTCGGCCTGATCATCAATTACCATCAGGTGAGATACAGGCCAAGAACTTCTTCGTTGTGGATAAAAAAAGCATCTTCTGATAAATAAAAATATCTTTATCTTTATCTTTAAATCGTTTTTTTTTCACTACCGTATTGTCACACCTCGGAATTGAACCCAAAGCCTTTGAGTTGAGAAAGTTCGGTAAATAATACAAGACAGATGTGGGCTTCCTCTTTTTAGTGTGTACTCGTACGATGAGTGGATTCTGTAACTATTTCAGGTTGAAGGAAATATTCGGCGACAGTAAACGCGCCGTCCAAAAGCAAGACCTAGCGCAGATGAAGTACTGCGAGGCGGTCATCTATGAGACGCTGCGGCTCTATCCTCCAGCGCCTGTCGTCATGAGATACGCTGACAAGGACTTGAAGTTAGGTCAGTAAAAACGTCAAAATGTAGGTATATTTTTTTTTAAAAAGCAGCTATTACAACTGGTATAAGATTTCTAAGATTTAGTTTTATTTGCTGTCTACACAAAACTTAATTTTAACAATTTGACGAAATTGACAATTTTTACATTTATAATTTTCAATACTTAAACTTGTCGGCTTACAGTGTTATAGTAGCAGCTTTCATCATCATCATCATTTCAGCCATAGGACGCCCACTGCTGAACATAGGCCTCCCCCAATGCTTTCCATGTTGATCTATTGGTAGCGGCCTGCGTCCAGCGCTTCCCTGTCTTACCTTACGATGTCGTCGGTCCACCTTGTAGGTGGACGTCTCACGCTGCGTTTTCCGGTACGCGGCCTCCATTCCAGAACCAGCAGCTTTACCAACATCTAAATGTGGGCAGAGGAATCACCAGTCAAGCGAAAGGTTGAAAGGTTATGTCCCATTTGAGGCGTTGGATTTTTCTGATTTGAATGATTGACACAGATGAGTTATGGATTTTTTGTCTTCCTTTCTTCAACCATTTCTCAATTTTGTTTCCCTCTGGTAAATTAGGTAGAGTCGTGCTCCCGCAGTGGAGACCTAGTGAATTGAAACTATCATATCCTTTCAGCTACCTTCACGATCCCCAAAGACACCGCTTGCGGCATCAACGCTTGGGGCGCGGGCCGTTCACGGCGTCTGTGGGGCGCCGATGTTTTGAGCTACCGGCCCGAGCGTTGGCTGGAGGCAGACCTCGCCTGCACACACGCTACGGGTCTACTGGCCTTTAGCTACGGCCGGCGCTCTTGTATAGGTGAGTCATACCACTTCACAGCCCCAAGACACAGAGTGCGTAATCTGTGAGACGCCGACGTCCTGAGCTACCAACCCGAGCGTTGGCTGGAGGCAGACCTCGCTTGCACACACGCTACTGGTCTACTGGCCTTCAGCTACGGCCGGCGCTCTTGTATAGGTGAGTCATACCACTTCACAGCGCCTAAGACAAAGTGTGCGGCGTCTGTGAGAAGCTGATGTTATGAGTTACCGCCCTGAGTGCTGGCTAGAGGCAGACCACGCTTGCACACACGCTACGGGTCTTCTGGCTTTTAGCTACGGACGGCGGTCTTGTATAGGTGAGTCATACCACTTCACAGCGCCTAAGACAAAGTGTGCGGCGTCTGTGAGAAGCTGATGTTATGAGTTACCGCCCTGAGTGCTGGCTAGAGGCAGACCACGCTTGCACACATTCTACGGGTCTACTGGCCTTCAGCTACGGCCGGCGCTCTTGTATAGGTGAGTCATACCACTTCACAGCGCCCAAGACAGGACGTTCAGCATCTGTGAGGTGCTGAAGTCCTGTGCTACCAACCTAAGTGTTGGCTGGAGGCAGACCTCGCTTGCACACACGCTACGGGTCTACTGGCGTTTAGCTACGGAAGACGCTCTTGTATATGTAAGGCATTTACCACTTCACAGCGCCCAAGATATGGTATGCGGCATTTGTGGGACGCTGACGTTCTGAGCTACCGCTCCAAGCGTTGGCTGAAAGCAGACCTGGCTTGCACACACGCTACGGGTCTACTGGCCTTCAGCTACGGATGGCGCTCTTGTATAGGTGAGGCATTAACCACTTTACAGCGCCCAAGACATGGCATGCGGCATTTGTGAGAAGCTGATGTTATGAGCTACCGCCCTGAGTGCTGGCTAGAGGCAGATCACGCTTGCACACACGCTACGGGTCTACTGGCCTTTAGCTACGGCCGGCGCTCTTGTATAGGTGAGTCATACCACTTCACAGCGCCCAAGACAGGACGTTCAGCATCTGTGTGGTGCTGAAGTCCTGTGCTACCAACCTAAGTGTTGGCTGGAGGCAGACCTCGCTTGCACACACGCTACGGGTCTACTGGCGTTTAGCTACGGAAGACGTTCTTGTATAGGTAAGGCATTTACCACTTCACAGCGCCCAAGATATGGTATGCGGCATTTGTGGGACGCTGACGTTCTGAGCTACCGCTCCAAGCGCTGGCTGAAAGCAGACCTGGCTTGCACACACGCTACGGGTCTATTGGCCTTCAGCTACAGTCGGTGCTCTTGTTAAGTAAGTGAACCCGCAACGAGATATCCACCTCTAAGTGCCAATGATACAGCGTGAGGTATTCACTGAGATCCAAAGACGTCGACTGCTGGACAAAGCCCTCCCCCAAGGATTTCCACAGTGACCGGTATTGCGCTTCTCTCATTGAATGACGCTTACCTAATTCCCCAATGGCGATCAATTTCAATGTCTGATTCGCCACTTAAGTTTGGCAAATCTGTGTACTATGTACCATGCACCACCTTTGGTCATCTTCTCCGGTACATACAGAGTAGGGACTCTCCAGTGGTTTTGAGAATACTTTCCACACGAACCAGGCACGGACAGGAACTAGTGTGACATAACAATGTCTTTTGTTTGCTAAGTTTATACTGTAGTTCTAATAGGTGCCATTATCCTCCCTTTCAGGTAAAAAATACGCCATGGCCTTCCTCAAAACGGCGCTAGCTTATTGTGTGAGAGAGCTCCGCATTATTTCTGATGCTGAGAACTTGAGGCTTAGGGTTGACCTGGCGCTCCGACCAGTCAGCGGACACTTGCTCAAGGTCCAGCTACGCTGACCTTCCACGCTAAGGAGTTTAGGACAAGACCAGGGATCATGATGTCTTGGTTATGATGGCGACTGTAAAAGGGTACCGAATCTTTTTTCTAAAAGTGATTTTTAGTAAATACTTTTAATGATTAAATAAACAGTGTGCCCCTTTAGTCTGAAGGCATGAGGTAGAGATGGTGATGGTATAGATGTGATGACATGATGATGGTTTCTTTGGTACTTTTAGAACGTAATTGTAGAAAAGGTTAGTTATAACTAAATAGAGAAAAGTAGTTTTCTTTAACATAGCTTTAGTAAAATACAATATTAAAAAAATTGGTATTATGTAATAGACAATAATTGTGTTAACTAAGAAAATGTATTTTTAAGCGAAACTAAAGAAAATAAAGCAAAATTAATTTATTACATATTCCAAAATCAAACCTATAGAAATGGTAAGTATTGCAGTACATTATTATTCTGTGGTATTGCCTACAATTAGACTAATGTGCATGCGTGTTAATAGTAAAAGCAGATCGCAGTGTCGTGTAGGCGGAATAAATATTCTTAACGACACTCATGAGGCATTCGAAACTCAGCATCGTCACGCCCCCAGCAGAGAGTTTCATGGTCTTCTGTGCACTAGCCAGCATCAGCAGTACAATCTTCATATTCGGGACGTCAAACATCTCCCAGTTGCAAGCGTACACAGCTGCTGCGAATTGTGCACTGGCGTCCATTACTCGCTGGCCAGTCCAACAGTCCATAGCTACCTGCACAAACGCATACGGCATCTCCAGAATCGTGTTCTGCAGACCACCCAGCAGCTCAGCTATCAAACCCATTATTAGGAACAGGAATTCGAAAGCTATCGCCCCTTTAAATACTTCTTCCAGCAAATGTAGAATGTGCACATTCGTCGCATGCTTCCTTATTATATCATGGAGTCGCATAGTTATGAACTCGTTGATGACTCTTTTCTTGTATTTGGCGTCGACAAACGTTCCTCTTTTTAGGGTGTTAAGGTTGATATTGGCGTAGTGTTGTTCGGCGTCGGCCCAGATGTGGAGCAGTTCTTGGGTGAGGGCCAGCATTTGTGCCTCGATGTAGCCCGCGAAGACTATGAGTACGGAGGTGACGTTGGCTGGGACATAGCAAAGGAACCAGACGCTGGCAGCGACTAGGGCGTAACCAAACTCGAAGTTAGGAGACTTCTCTATCGGTTCTAGACCTGTCAAGATGAAAAATCTAAGCTTAATTGCACTGCTAATGATATTACCTTCTGAACTGGAGTTGTCAGATGTCAGCAGAAGTGCTTTGTCAGTGATCAATTGTTGAAGTCATGTTAATTTGATTAATTTGTGAAGTAACTCAATCATACCATAAATAGTAAAGACATTATCCATAAAATGTCCCCCAGGAGTGAAGAGCGGCTTGCCAACATACGCCATGCCATTCCCCATGATGATGAACCAGTAAACCATGGCCCGTAACTTCGCCTTTCTCATAGATTTCAAAACGTTATTAGAAAACCGACTCCCGGGAACTATTTTTGCATCAAACTCTAAACTCTCATCTACAATTTTTCTGATAATATCCCTGGAAGCAAATTTGAGTGTACGGTTATCAATGAAAAGGGTATATATACTCTTTTGAACTAGGGACAATGACTTACTGGGTTGAAAATATCTAATTCAACATTTCAAAGAGAGATGGTGCTTTAACAGAGATGAAAAGATTGACAATATTACTCCGCTACACTTTGATAAAAACAAGCAAGTAGTGTCCGACAAGCAAGTAACTTATAACGAAATAATAAAGCTAAGAATAACACCTGTATAAGTAGACATAAGCAAACTTAGCATTGCCGATCTCACTCGAGACGCACAGCGAGAACATAATGATGCCTTTCAAAAGGTCGTGTTCGGCCACGCAGCGCTCCTTCACGAACCAAATGGCTGAGACTACGAACACGAAGAAGTACGCTGAAGCTGTGCTGATGGTGACGAGATAGGACCAGAGGGGTATTCCTGGAAGGCAAAGAAGAGTAATAAAGGGTTAGGGTAATGAGCATAATAAAGACATAGGTGAAAGCGAAAGGTCACTGCACTCATAACGAAATTTCAGAAACTACAAGTGCTAGGAGTCTCAAATTTTGCATGGGGGTTCCTTTTAGAACGTAGGTGCTCACTAAGGCGGGATTTTGCAAAATTCAACTCGTGAGGGGGTACAACGGGGTCCACGCGTACGAATCTGGGGGCACGGCAGTGCCCCCACCAAGTCGAGCATTAATTATAATAGTATTATAATAGTAGTCATCTATGAAGCTTTGAACTAGAGGCAGCCAGCGGTTTAACCGTGTTGGTGTTAAATCCAATCTAGATTCCGTTAATTTAACTCTTTCATTTGAGGTGATTAATAAATTAGGTCAACTTAACAGTTAATTGCAAACATTCAGCACAAGATTTGTCAATCTTAAATTCAAAAATTCAAAATTTAAAATTTCTTTATTTTCTTATAAGCTCTTGCGTTTAAGATAGTCGATACTTACGTTCCTTGTGCCTATTATCAATATTAAGAGTCAACACCCTGAGGAATATGGCTACGTTGTCTATCATAGTTGGTAGATCACAGTACTTGAGGCCTAGTTTGCGAAAATCGAATCTAGAGTTCTTGCCCTCCCTAGCTTTAAATTTTGATACCGGCAAAATGTTAACTTTAATCTTCATAATGTCAAATTAAATCAAAACTTTAATGGCGAATCTGCTGAGCAGAATGTTAATTATTTTCTTCATTTGTTTCACTAATGCTCGTGTGTATGAAATAACTGCATTGACAACTGTCGGGAAGTTAAAGGATATTGAGTCATTGAGGTTCGTAAAAATCAAAAGATACCTACTTTCATATTTTTTATTTTCAGTAATGTATATGTTGGCTAATTACTAAATTACAGGTGTAGTGTTTGCCTACTGTATACGTCATCCATAGAAAGCCGTGAAACTCAAAATTTACTTTTTATAATTGTTTTGCTAATCGATATTGCAAACTAATATTGTCTTTGTTTGCTAATGAATTGTAAACGCTACTATCAGGTTAAAAATCTATTTTCTGTGTAGTATTACGCCATCATTGACCGCAGTGTCGTGTAGGCGGAGTAGATCGATCTTATCACAGTCATCAGACACGTGAAGCTCAGTTGAGTCATTCCTCCGGCAGATAGCACCATGGTCTTCTGCGCGTTCTGAAGCATCAGCAGCACAGTTCTCATGTTGGCAACATTGAAGTTCTCCCATTTGCAATCATATACAGAGTTTTCAAACTTATCGCACGCATCCATCATCCTCTGGCCGGTCAGGCAATCCATCGCGACTTGCATCAGTGCAAAAGGCATTTCGATGTAGGTGTTTTCGAGTCCCCCGAGCAGTTCTGATATAAGACCAGTTATGAGTAGAAGAAACTCTACAGCTATGGCCCCTCGGAATACGTGCTCGATTTGCTGGATGAGATTGATGTTGGTTGTGTGGATTTTTACTATTTCTTCTAATTTCTGTTTGATGTATTTGTTGATGATTTGGTTTTTGATATCATCGTTTGAGGTGACCAATGCGTTGTCAGCTTCGGCTTCTAAGAGGTATTTATTGTAGTGTTCCTGGGCATCACTCCATAGGTGGACGAGCTCCTCGCTAAGGGCCAGCATGGTGGCTTCGGTGTAGCCGATGAGCACCGTGAGTAGGGCTGTGATGTTGGCAGGGAGGTAGCATGTGCAGATTACGCCTCCAGCGGTGAGGAGAAAGCCTATCTCATAGTTTGGTGATTCGAACATTGGTTCGAGGCCTGAAAAAAGATAAAAAGATATGCGGTAGGTATAATAACTGTAGGTCAAACTCTGATTGAATTGATGTATTTGCATTTTAATTAAATAAATAAATAAATTTCTCAATGAATATACAGGAATAACGGGACGTTCCCGCCAAGACAAGATACAAAGATACAGGAGCTCAATTGCAACAGATTTGGCTCTCTGTATGTATAAGCAGTACTTATTATTATTCTGTGGTATAAGATTATTTTGTGGTGAAGGTATATTTACCATAGATGATGAACAAATCTTCCATGATGTGCCTTCCAGGTGTGACGATGGGCTTCATGATGTAGATCGTGCCATTCCCAATGATGACCATCCAGAAGATTAGGCCACGCTTCTTTACGACTCTCAGGCCTTTCAGCAAATTCTGGCGGAAACGGTCGCTTTTCAGAGTCTGAGCATCGCAAGCCAAGTATCCATCGACGATGTTCTTGATTACTTTCCTGCGGACAGTGAGTTGCGAATAGTATAGCATCTAAATGGTCTACTAGTGTAGTAGTCATTTACCTATAATAGAAGTATATGTACATATAGGCAGCTCAAATCATGAGAAAAATACCTTCATTAGGCTAGTTGCCTAAAAAAATTTTTTTAGTCCGTAATGTTTAATATCAAAAAATATTGGACACATATATTTTTATTTGTCAATCTAACAAATAATTACATAGTTATGGTGCGTTGAAGTTGCGCACGACGTCACAACGTGCGGCATTTTTAAGCAAGCGTTGACGTCACGGGCCTCTTCTTATGAACTTTGGGGCGCTTTATCTCTTTAAATTTTCATTAGTTTGAAAAAGTGAAAAATACGTGTAGAGTATTTTTTTATAAGTTAACTGACGGACTAATTAAAACTCTTGCTTTTTGACCCAGGCAACATCCCCATTGCGCACCTTGCTGAATGCGACTCTCCCTCCCACATACCCGCACACCTCCCCGCGTTCGCCCCGTCTGTACCAGAGCGTCGATGTGACGTCATGGTCGCTAGGTGTGCAGTTAACTTGACCGGATTGTAGAAATATGCCTCCCAACGTAAGTTAGGGCTTTTATTGGAAACTAGCTGACCCGGCGAACTTTGTTCCGCCTTAATGGCAATAAATAGGCAGACTTTTTTTTTAATTTCGAACGGGATAAAAAGTATCCTATGTCCTTCTCCTGGCTCTAAACTACCTCCCTGACAATTTTCAGCTAAATCGGTTTAGCCGTTCTTCTTGAGTTATAAGCGAAGTAACTAACACGACTTTCTTTTATATATATAGATAGCTGACCCGGCGAACTTTGTTCCGCCTTAATGGCAATAAATAAGCAGACTTTTTTTTAATTTCGAACGGGATAAAAAGTATCCTATGTCCTTCTCCTGGCTCTAAACTACCTCCCTGACAATTTTCAGCTAAATCGGTTCAGCCGTTCTTGAGTTATAAGTGGAGTAACTAACACGACTTTCTTTTATATAATAGATATAGATATAGATAAAGCAGATTTTTATGATCACACCTTTGACAACTTACTCGTACATAAACATATAGAACAACTTGCAAGGGCCGATCTCGCTGCTGATGCCGAGCGAGAAGACGATCATGGCGGCGATGACGTCACCGGTCTCGCGGCACTTCCAGAACACGAACCACACCATGGACACGAGGTACACGTAGAAGTAGCAGGCGGATATGACCGTGGTGAATATGTAGAAGATTATGGGTATCCCTGTAAGGTAGTGCATGAAATAGTAGTTTGGGTCTTAGAAATGTAAAATATTATGGGTATTTTTGTAAGTTAGAGCACAGAATACATATAGTAGCAACAGAAATTGCACTCCTTTGTGTAGGATCAGATGCCGACATTTTAACGGTAATAATAATAATGCAAAATATCCAACGCACATGGTGCATTCGAAATCGCACCTTACTACTACGCTCACAAGAACGCATTTTTTTTGTGTTTAGAATTGATCTACGTCACCGCTCAAGTGTCAGGGTTGTATGAGCAAAGTAAAATAAATAAAAACTTAATTTTAAGAAGTATTTATTGTATTTACGATTAGAAAACTTTAATCTAGTGGAGTTTGTATAATCGTACCATCTCTAAAGTACTTATTAATAAACTTCAGTGTTGCGATAATTCGAAATTAAACAAACAGTTTTAAAAGGTGTAGTGTCGGAAAATAGACACGGTGAAGTAAAGTTAATGTTTTTATTAGCTAAAATAATTTTTTTGCTATAGTTTTTTGTCATAAGTATTTCAAAATAATTTATTATTTAAAAAGTGTAGTTTTTTTTATTATTTTTTCACTACAGTTATATTATTCCTAAATATTACAATTTTTCTTTAAAGAAGAATAACAGTGCTGTTGGAACAATAAACCTTGATTGCGACTATGATCGACCGAGCGTGTATAGATACGCGTGTGCAAACAGGCGCGTGGCGGCCCGGACTGATTTGCAACTTGAAGTTGTCGCGCGCTGTAGGTAATTATCTCGGCCGGCATAGGCGAGTGACGGAGGCCTGGTTAGAGCATGAAGTAGTAGTTTGGATGTTAGGAAACTGTCTGATTTCTTCTATCAGATAGATACTGGTGATATGAGAACTTCTTTTGTGTAGAAGACTATATAATTGCGTAGAGATTGCAACCTTCTAGTTAATGAAGTTTCATTAATTTAAAGTTAGTAAAGTTACTATTAGTAAAGGGGGCTCCCCTTTTAATTTTTAGGAGCTTTCAATTATGTTATCTAGGGCAATATAGCATTTTTCTTTCATGAGCATTAAGCATGTTGCAGTTTTTACAAGCTTTAGGTATATTGACTTCGCTTGTTTGTTAGTGTAGGAGAAATCTTGCAACTGAATTTAAGACCAGTTCTCCTCAACTGAGTGAGCTGAAATTTAGTATAAGTATTCTGTCTTGAATCACATTATCCATACTTACTAGCCGGGTTCCTGCTGTCCACACTGACGGTAAGAGCTCTGAGCATGAAACAGACGTTCCACAGCATCGTTGGTAGATCGCAGTACTGCAGGCCGAATTTACGAAGTTTATCCCACATTTTCAAATATTATTTTAATGATTCTGGGTTCACTACTTTGTTACTACTCAATTAGAATGTCTAAATATGACTGCTGGACTTTCTCGAAGCTTGTGGTGACTCTAGATATGTTTACTTTCCTCATTGACCATAATAACCAGGAAACAAAGTTGGTTCCACGATAAAGTTTAACCGCTAACTATTGCAAGCGGTGACAATGCAACTCAGTCACAAACACGAACAAATCACAATGTAAAATAATTTGAGTTTGTGACTACAGTGTGAGGCAGACAAAAAGGTTACCACGTAGATGGTATTTTGGATTACTATAACCTATGGTTAAGTAGTGGTGGTTAGATGAATCTAAAAGTTCTGGCGTGGGATTTAAACCAAGATTTGAGGTACATCATCATCATCAAAGATAAATCTACTCTATTTTAGATTTCAAAATCTTATATTTTAACAGCAAAGTTCGAAACAATCTTGTTTTCCGAAGTTCAGAACTAAATTGAATAAAAATTGTAGATCTGGTGACAACTGACGACCAATAATAAACAGTTATTTCGATTAATTATAGGTTAGCACTTTTTTACTGTCAGAGGAAAAATCGTAATAAAGGATTAAGATAGTTGTTTTGTTTGTTGCATGAATGTTGCTTGAATATTTTCTCATCTGCGTATTATAATGCGAATTAAGAATGTGTAGAATTAGTGTTTGAGGAAGCGACAAAATTTATTTTTGTCGTTTTATCTTTGGAGGAACAAGCATCGATCCTTCGTTCAATCCTCTAATCACAATCATTAGTGAGCAACAATCTTTAGGTTTGAGATTGGTCTACTTACCTTCAATAATTAGGGTGTGAATCAACTTGCTTGTTCGTTCGTTCAGTCAAATTAAGGCATGATATGCATAATTGTGATTTGCCCATAGTCTAATG